TCACATTCTGAATCGGCATTATGACCAGTAGCAGTCTCTTCATGGTCATATTTTCAATCAGCTTCTGGAACCATGCCACCCCCTTCCCAACTTCGATTAAACTGTTCTGAAACACCAAAGCCTTCCGCATCACATCTTTAAACAGTTCGATCGTCTTGAGTGGAGGTTCTCCGATCTCGAACTCTTCAGTCTTCCTGTAGTTTTCCAGATTACAGTTGTACTTGGCAACGGTCATCGCCTTGATGACCTCGCTCATTCCGCAAGCATACCGCGTTGACTTTAGACCGGTTTTTAGCTAATGTTTTGAAAATATAAGCGATGTGAGGAATCCTAAAGAGACTGAATTTATAAAGATACGACACGTCAAAATTGGAACATTCGATTATCAGTCAAAGTCATAGGAAAAGTTGTTCCAATCGAGCAAAAGACCTGTCAAATGTATAAGATGTCGCCTCTTTACCCAATTCAGTCTCTTTAAGGAATCCATGTCAGAACTTCGCCGGAAATTCACGATTGAAGTCATGAAACCAAAAATTGGATTGTGTCAACAATAATGATTAACATTTTGACACATGCATAGAGCAGGCGCAGATATAGTACACTGTTGCAAGTAACTTTAAATATCATGAAAATTTCTAACTATGGGTGCCCAGGTGTGCCCATCTGTATTTTTGGCACACTGTGCGGAGTGACCAACGCCTTGCAATGAAATTAATGTCGTCGAGAATAAGCTATGAAAATCTTTTTGAATTCGCCCCTTTGCCTTATCGTCCTTAACGGGGGCCGTTTTCTACAAAAAGTGCGAGACGGAACTGGGCTGAAAATGGCTCTACATAAACCTTAGTTAAAATCTAAAATTTAAACTAAAAAATACCATAAACTCAAATTTAGTTCGTTTATCTAGGATAGATTTTGCGTCTCTGTTGAAATCAACATAGTTCACATGTAGGGGAGTAGTAAAAACGAATTCCTGTTCACTTGGGGTGGTAAGAATAAAGCATCAATTAACAACCAAATAAAAACGAAAGCTAACTACTAGCCCTAGCCTTTTAAGCCTATTCTGCGCGGCGTGTGAGATGACTAGTGAAGTGACATTTCTCGCGTCACTTCATCGACTCTCTCTTTCGTAAATAACTCGGCTACAAAAACGTTTCCTGTCGTTTGTGTCGTATTAGATGTTGCTTTTTCTATCGAGCTGTGTATCGAAAATATAAGGAAATATCTTAACACGACCATAGCGATCCAAAAAGAAAGTCGATGCAGAGAATCGATCAATGTAGATAGGATCTGATCGTGAGTCACTATTTGTACTTTCCAAATCTGTCTCAAATCCCGACCGTTGTAATCTTCGAACCAATTCTCCAAATCGTCCTGCTGCAACTCGGGATTTGTATTTTGGTTGTCTCTCATTTGCCGTTCGAACTTCATCTGGTAGTCCTGATATTCCTGGCTCAGCATAGCCTACATATTCCTGTTTCTGTGGGATTTTCTTCTTGGTTTGTCCTGGGACATGGCATGAACCCGTCACTTTTGAAAACAATTCTCGCGTCACCTTTCAAATAGACCAATCTACATTGATCGATTCTCTTCATTGATTCTCTCTTTCGTTAATATCTCGGCTCCAAAAACTTGTTCAGCTTTTCTCATCGTCTAATTCGCTTAATAATACTTTCTTTTAACAGACTATGAAGAAATCTAGATAGAGCTGGAATTAGGGCGTAACAACCTTTGTAAACAATGACTTCTATCGATGATTTCTATGAACTCAAGGCACGCCCACGCAAACCAACGTAACCGTCAGGTAGGGGAAGTCTTCCTCTACCCGATGGTATTGTTGATTTGCATTGGCGAGCCTCAACTTTCTAGAAATCATCGAAAGAAGTCATTGTTTACAAAAGCTGTTACGCCCTAATTCCAGCTCTATCTAGAAATATTAGCCCGAAATATGGATGCAACGAAGTTATTAACGAAAGAGAGAGTCGATGAAGAGAAACTATCAATGTAGATTGGTCTATTAGAAAAGTAACGCGAGAATTCAATACATCATAGTAAAGAGCCTGAATTTACAAAGAGACGACATGTCAAAATTGGAACAGTCGATTGTCTGTCAAAGTCATAGAAAAAGTCATTCCAATTGAGCAGAAGACCTGTCAAATGGATAAGATGTCACCTCTTTATAAATTCAGGCTCTTTACATCATAGCATTCTACAACGGTGGCATTAAAACGGTAAGCGTCTAATGTCAAAGATGAATCACCCCTCGGCGAAATTATGACGAGCGTATAGAAGTTTGGATAGAATTGATTTGAGGTTAGTGTGCTACTAGGCGTTCCATCAATTGCAGGAGAGAACAAATCAGAGCTATTGTTCCTCTGGTGGTATGATTGATCCAAGCCTATTTAAAGTATTCGTCATTTGGTGCTACTTGTTCGCTGTTAGTAGCTCAGTTTGTCAAAAACCTGAACGCGCAAGAGTTTGCCGCCAAAGCAATAATTATAAATCATTGCAACGACAACTTCTTATACAGCGTGGACAAGGAATCAGTTGAGCTGGTTCAGCAGATCAAGATGGTGCATTCCAAGTGAGGGTTTACTATATGGAACTGGTTGTCGAATTCAGTCGAGGTGCTCTCGCGGGTCGGGAACAAGAAAGCGGAGTTATCCATTGTCCAAAACAGTCGCATGAATGAGCTCATTGGAATGATTTGGACTACATCCGTCCATCCACCGCTATTCATCGGCTGTCCTTCAACCAATTCAGCTGATTTTCTGTAGATAACAAATTACAAACAAAAAATCATCGTAATTGGTTGAATTCTCTACCCTTTGGAACTGGTAGCTGTGGTCATACTTCATGCAAATATATCATATTAACAATATAATAAACTATTTCGCTTAGCTGGAGAACCTAATTCTTAGCAATGAGAACGCCTCTTTGGTTAAAAAGGTTTTTATTTGTGTAATAATTCGCGCCCCTCGATCACAATTGAATGAATGTTGCTGACCTTTTTCAAAACTAGATGGTGCGAGAAGCAATATTTTTCTGGTCGCAATGGAAGTGGCAAGAGTGAATCATATTTTTAATATGATATATTTGGTTCACGGGAAAGGGCCTGTCTTAACTCACCCGGTATAGGTGCGGCTGTAAAACATGACCAATAGACTGATACAACATTTGAAATGTTTGCTCCGTAGTGCTCAAACGGTTTCAAATCGGGTCCTGATTAGCCTCCCAAAATTAGAACTCATTTGGTAAGAAACTGACTTGGCGTAAACCATTTGAAGTTTATTTGGAAATTACTATCAGAAAACCTTTTTTTTTTGTTCTTTGTCTTCTAGCCTTTGCACTGTTAACATTTCTTTAACTATTCTCGTGTGACATTTTCTCAGCTACAACTTTGCGGAAAATCGTTTTTCAAACTTAAAATTAAATAGTTATTAATTATTGAAGAGAATGATAATTTTATGGCATGATTAAGCAGCTGTTTTGTGGGCAACACTGTATTCTATAATGTGACATAGTAGCCTTGATTTTTGTTATTTGATGCACCAAAAACACCAGTGTTGCCTGCTGAACAGTTGATTGACGATAATCATAAGACACCAGTGCCTTGAATAATTAATAACCATTATTCCTTATATTTAATTGAAAAGTCATCTTCAACAAAGTTGCTGCTGCAAAAATTTCTTACAATCATAGGTATAAATTTTAAAAGCATAGTGATATGGTGAATTGTTAGATAGATATGAGCAAAAGATTTGGTTTGCCATAGTAATTTCCATATAAACTTCAAATGGTTTGTGCTAAGTCAACTTCTTACCAAATGAGTTCAAATTTTTGGAGGCTAATCAGGACCGAATATGCAACCGTTTGAGTAGCATAGAGTGAAAATTTCAAGGGGACTGGGTTCGGTTCCCGGTCTCCCGGAGATTTTCAGGTTGGACATTTTCTGGACTTCCCTGGGCATAGAGTATGAATGTACTTGCCACACAATAATACTTATGGTGATCTACCCGAAGATCTACCCACGTTGCGGGGCATACCTGTGGTAGTATTATTTTGTGGCAAGTGCAATCATACTTATATGCCCCGGGGAAATCGAGAAATGTTTCAACCCGAAAAATTCCTACACCGAACCGGGAATCGAACCCAGCCGCCTCCAGCATGGTCTTGCTTCATAGCTGTACCTCTACCGATTGAGCTAAGGGAGGCCCCACCATCGATTCGTATTGTTAACAATTTCACCTCCTTCTACGGTAGGACTGTTTACACGCCACGCGATCAACAGTTGCCTTATACTGGAAAGTCCAGTTGTTGGTTAGATTTAGCTTGTTCGATAGGTTTATTAGGTGTGCTTAGGATAGTGCAAGCACTTGTACGTTGTAGCATATTTTCCATTTTATAGTAGGTTAACAATTTTGTTTGACACTGATCGCTTTGAAAAAATCTTCTACGATCACTTTTTCAAAGTTTATGCCCATTAAACTGAAATTTGCATAAATTCTAAACTCTTATTCATAGGATGAAAGATATCGCCTGACTGGCAAAACGAAATCGAGAGTTGTACCGATTGATTTTGCATATTAAGAAGAAAACCACGGCGGAGAGGAAAAGAACAGGGCGAGCGTGGTGGAACTGGTTGGTCGATTATGCAAACAACGCAATGACCACGTTGCGGCCGGTTTTTCTCTTTCGTCCATTTCATACAACGAAACCATTCACGGTGTTCGATCGCGGCGAGATAAAGCAAAACTCCAAGTCTTGCACGTAGCGCGGGAATGCAGTCCAATCTTTTCAGTTGAACACGCTGCGAAGGTAGACGAGAATTGTTGAATGCTTTCTCTGCCAATGCACACGGATCTGTCCTCACTTTTATGAGGAATGCTTAAGGTGACTTGTTGATGCAGGCGGAGAGGGAGACGAGTGGTGGCCGTCCTTGTCCAAGGAAAGCCGGACGGGTTTGCACTACTTTATAGCAGCGGCCGCGGAGAGGTGCTTACCTGGTTTGTTCCTGGCATCTTGGCGACGTTTCTTCAGTGTCGTTAGAAGGTCATCGTTGCTGCGGAACGGACGGATGCTGGGTCGGATCTTCCTCGGTGTTTCGGTGGTGGTAGTGGTTGTGGGTTCCACTTTGGCGGCTCCTTCTTCGCCTTCTTCGCCCTCGATTTGTTCGCCTTCCTCGTCCACGTATTCGTCCTGAAAGAGTGAAAGGCATTAATTTCAATGCTAGGATGCTAGGCATTAAGTTAATGTTTACCTAATGATTATAACAACGGCCGTACTAAGGATTTATTAATGTACGCTTCTAAAAAGCGAGCGTGTTCTTTGAAACATTTCCATAGTTATTAGTTACGATCTTGCTATGCCAACCAATGCATGAATTTGCATTTTGTGTGGCAAGCATGCCCTGTAGAGTGGGTCATCTTAACAACCCCCCTTTCCCCACTGCTTTTTTAATGTGTACTGAGGAGGACCCCAACAACTGTGTAAAATTTGAACAAATTTGGTTATAATCTCGATTTGCGGTAGAATTTTAAATTTTGTATGGTAAAATGTATGGGAAACGGAACGATCCTACTCATTTGTTTATCAAAAATCCAAATATTTCTCAAATTTCACCAAATCTCTGATTTAGATTGAGAATACTATACAAAACAACTTTGTCGAAATTTACTTTAAATTTCCAAAAATTTACTGGACCGATCTTATTCTTCAGATTTTTGTTTCGGTTAAGAACAAAACATTTTTCAGTGCATTCGCATTTGAATTATATCAGTGTACAAACAATTGGATTTCAAAATAGCATAGAACATCCATTGTTGGGTCGTGGAATCCTAAATGACATTAAGGGGGATTTCCGGTTCAATTGACCTAAACTTTGGATTTTTTTCCAGGGAACTAGTCAGAGTTAGAGACCGCAAATCGTCACCTAGAAAGAAAATCGGCTCAGTTTCTTGAAGCGTATAGTTCAGAGAATGGAATGAACTAGAATCTTTGAAAAATCTCAAAATTTGACAAAATGGCGGGCATTTGAAAAAAAGTCATTTACCTAGTTACCGCAATTTTGTCAAATTTTGAGATTTTTCAAAGATTCTAGTTCATTCCATTCTCTGAACTATACTCTTCAAGAAACTGAGCCGATTTTCTTTCTAGGTGACGATTTGCGACCTCTAGGCTGCTCGCAATTTTGGGAAGTACCCGCCGGGCAGCCGCCATATTGAACGCCATTTTGGATTTTTGGACTTGAAAAAATTCCCAGTTGTAGAGCAAGAATGAATAAAGATTTGACAAAAAACTCAGGTCTCTAACTCTTACCAGTTCCCTGGAAAAAAAATTCAAAGTTTAGGTCCATTGAACCGGAAATCCCCCTTAAGCGTCGATTTCCGACCTCTGTACGTCGTCCACGTTCTGAAAATACCTCAGTTTTTCAGAAACCGGCAGTCTCCATCTGAGAGTATACAAATAGGAAGCCACCATTTTGGACTCTTATTTGGCGTTAATAATCGATTTCTGCCTGTAAATCCCAAGCAACATTTTAAGTTTGATGAAGTAATACAAAGCTACTAGGGGAAATGGCTCTAATGTTGGACCTATGGATCTAAGATTCGTCCCATCGCTAAAAACCTGCTATTTATCAATTTTATCTAGATGAACGCGTCATTGGGACGGTACTTATGGATATTTTTGGTCGCTATTGAAAATTTAGTCGATTGCAGAACTTATGTATGGACCCAAATTAGGGGCATTTAGGCCGACATTACATCCATTTCCCCTATAAAACAACAAGGCTGCTTTGCCATTGATGCATCCACCAAAAGCTCATTACGACTAGAATCTGTCTAGTTGGCGTATCCTGGAGATGATTCTGAAGGGTATATTCTCGAAGCTCTTAAGATTGTTTTACTGTAAAAAAAAACCCGTATTTCCGCTACAATAACAGCTAATCCGTCTAAAGTAGGGCTACCCTACATTGAACAAACAAAAGTTCGGATTCTGATTGATGTTTTCCATTCGTCATTTTGGCAAACCCAACTTTGATTACTCAATTTGGAGTACCCCACTTTTGACGGATATGAGTAGATCCTTCTCAAATTTGGGTTGTTTAGAAATAGCGAGTGTACCGTTTCAACCAGGTCGGTTAATGCTGGGTAATGTGCAATACAGATCCCATTGAGATCACTAGCCTCTTCCCAGCAACTCCTATCCCTACCTCCCCGTGGTACCGGCCGGGAACTGTGGGAAACCTTAGGGAAGATCGGGTAACCAACCCCGGTGGGAACTTTGGTCATGGACTGACAGGGAAGGGGGGGGGGGGGTTTGCTTCGGCAAGCCTGAGCGTCTGTTCTCCAGGAGGAGCGGCTCACAACAGCGTCTGTTCCCATGTTAGGGGCGGCTGATCTACATCCGAGTGCCAGTGAAGGACTCTAAGCACAACTGTGCACCCTGGTCCTCCGGAAAGTTAGAGGGTTGGTGTCAGGCCCTGCGAGCCAGCCGTAAAAAAAGCATTGCAACGGAAAATCAGCAACAGAGGAATACGAACCGAGACCAACGGCAACGACCCCAGCGACGAAATAGGACTTGCTATTGGAAACTCGGCACGTGGAACTGTCGATCTCTCAATTTCATCGGGAGCACCCGAATACTCGCCAATCTACTGAAGGACCGCGGATTCGGCATCGTAGCGCTGCAGGAGTTGTGTTGGACAGGATCGATGGTGCGAACGTTCAGAGGTAATCATACCATCTACCAGAGTTGCGGCAACATACGCGAGCTGGGCACAGCTTTCATCGTGATGGGCGAAATGCAGAAGCGCGTGATCGGTTGGTGGCCGATCGACGAAAGAATGTGCAGGTTGAGGATCAAGGGCCGATTCTTCAACTTTAGCATAATCAACGTGCACAGCCCTCACTCCCGAAGCACTAATGATGACAAGGACGCATTTTACGCGCAGCTCGACCGCGAGTACGATCGCTGCCCAAGCCACGACGTCAAGATCATCATAGGAGACCTAAACGCTCAGTTAGGCCAGGAGGAGGAATTCAGACCGATGATTGGAAAGTTCAGCGCCCACCAGCTGACGAACGGGAACGGCCTACGACTCGTCGATTTCGCCGCCTCCAAGAACATGGTCATACATAGCACCTTCTTCCAACACCACCTCCCCTATCGTTACACCTGGAGATCACCACAGCAGACGGAATAGCAAACCGACCACGTTCTGATTGATGGACGGCACTTCTCCGACATTATCGACGTCAGGACCTATCGTGGCGCTAACATCGACTCTGACCACTACCTGGTGATGGTCAAACTGCGCCCAAAACTTTCCGTCATCAACAATGCACGGTACCGACGCCCGCCACGGTACAACCTAGAGCGACTGAAACAACCGGATGTCGCCTTAGCATACGCGCAAAATCTCGAGGCAGCGTTGCCAGAGGAGGGCGAGCTCGATGTGCCCCCTCTAGAGGACTGCTGGAGTACAGTAAAAGCAGTCATCACCGACGCAGCCGAGAGCACCATCGGGTACGTGGAAAGAAGTCGACGGAATGAATGGTTCGACGAGGTGTGCAGAGCGATTTTGGAGGAGAATAACGCAGCGCAGGCGGTAATGCTGCAGCATGGAACCCGACAGAACGTGGAACGGTATAAACAGAAGCGGAAACAGCAGACCCGCATCTTTCGGGAGAAAAAACGCCGCCTGGAAGAAGCGGAGTGCGAGGAAATGGAACTGCTGTGCCGTTCCCAAGAAACACGGAAGTTCTACCAGAAGCTCAACGCATCCCGCAACGGCTTCGTGCCGAGAGCCGAAATGTGCAAGGATAAGGACGGGAGCCTCTTGACGGACGGACGTGAGGTGATTGAAAGGTGGAAGCAGCACTTCGATGCGCACCTGAATGGCGAGGAGAACGTAGGCACGGGAGACCAGCGCAATGGAGGAAACGACTACGTCAGTGCAGCAGAGAACAGAACTGACCCAACTCCCACGCTGAGGGAAGTTAAGGACTCCATTCAGCAGCTCAAAAACAACAAAGCAGCTGGTAAGGATGGTATCGCAGCCGAACTCATCAAGATGGGCCCAGAAAAGTTGGCCACCTGCACATAACATAACAACTTCATGCAAAATAACTGACTAAAAGTTGACCCCTTTTTTGTGTTGCCTCAGTGGTATAACTGGTATAGTTGGGCATCGATATGTCAAAATAAAATTTTCATGATATCGTTCACAAAGACCAATGACGAAAATGTGAACAATGGCTTCTTTTGTAAATTTATCGTAATTCAAAGTCAATCCATGTAAGCCAGCAATACTATCGGATAGAGGGACTCTCCCTCGTGATGGTTTACTTGAGTGGTTTTTCATTCTCGAGAAATGCACAGAAAAAGCCATTGCTTACTTTTGCGACATTGACTCTCATGAAAGAGAAGCAGATATATGGTTGCATGCTCAGTAAGCATTGAAGCTGCCGGCGCCGGTGGTGTAGTGGTAAGCGTGACTGCTTTCTAACACCCCAATGGGTCTGGGTTCAATCCCAGCCGAGGTCGGTGGGATTTTTCTGAGGCATAAAAATCTCTGGTCACGTCTTCCTTCGGAAGGGAAGTAAAGCCGTTGGTCCCGGCCCATGTGTGTTTGAATGGGTGCGATATCCTACGCAGGTGTGGAAGCTGCCTTCCTGCACATTCGATTGCCGTCAATGGATGGCAATTGATGTCCGTCGGTGATTGGCACTAGATTGCGGAACAGAGACCGACGTTAAATAAAGGAAAGAAGAAGAAGAAGAAGAAGAAGAAAAAGCATTGAAGCTAACGACGATTCTGCAACTCTTTACTCTTATGGTAAAATCCCATAAGCATCTGACAGTCTGCGCATGAAATCTAGCAAACATTATCTTATCTCTTCACTCCACCACCTCTGCACGCAAAGCTTGAGAGTATCGTATGGGATTTCTATAGGAGTGACAGGGTAAGGAAATGTCCACCATGTCTCACGTACAGACTGACGTTTGCTGTTGGGAATTTACCATAGGAGTAAAGAGTTGCAGAGTGGCCGGAAAGGCAATTTGTAAATTGTCAAGGTAATGCGGCCATTCTTTTTTTCGAGTAGCTCTACAGTAGGGCTTAGCAAAGGATTCTTTGACTAGTACTTCCAAGTCGGTCAGAAGCCAATCAAGAGCGTTATTATCCAGTAATATTGTTCACTGTGCTTTTAGAAAGTCAACTATTTATGTTATGATTGCAGCACGAAATATTCTGTTGATGGATGTTTACGCTTACATTAACAAAAATCATTTTTTTTTTCTAAAGAAGCTAGAGATAAAATTAGGGTAAGTGTGCCAGATTTAGGCACTAGTGTCGGCCCTATCGTAAATGTCATATTTTAACATTATTTTCAATTTTTATTTTCGATAAAGATACATAGGGTTTGCCATAAATCTCGCAAATTAAACTATGGCAATTTATTTCAAATTTGATTTAGGGCCTAGGGCCAAAAACAGGACCACTTTTGTTAAAACTGGTGCAGTTACCCTACGTAAAATAGATCCAAACAATTACTTTCCATTGTAAATAGTGCTTAATGTTGCTATCGAAGCGCTCGATTTGATTTGTCGTCGTGTTTGCGGATGGAACTATGGTCACCTCAAAACACTGTATATTTTCTGCATTAACCGAGCCACTTGTTTCAAAATTTTATTGCTTCCCGCTGAACTTCAAAATGTATGCAGTAAACTTTTAATTTGCACGATCGTATTTTTCCTCATACGAATCCAAATGAAATCAAAGTTCGATGCAATTGATGCTAATCAATTAGAAAAAAAATAACGAAAAAAAATGGTACATACATTTATGTTCTAAGTTAACAGATAAAAAAATTTAAAAAATATACGCGCGTGAATTTAGAATTCAAAGAATTAGACAAGCATTCGCGTGGAGCTTCCCCACCTTTTTGGGATAACTACAGAAAACAATACGTATCGCTTTTAAAATTAACCACTTCATTCGAGCAGTTAAAATGACGTTTACTACCACTCGAACTTTGAAATAAAATATTATTTTGAGATTTTGTCTTCTAGAACCACGAGAAAAATAGCCTACATTTGTGCGTTTCATAAAAATAGAAATTAGTTAGTCCATTTTTGTGAAATCGCTGGTAGAAAGTCACGCCAAAACTGCTTGACAAAGTGGTCAATTGGGCAGTAAACAGTTAGCATATAGTAGCTTACAATGAAATATCAGGATTCATTGTTGGGTGGCAGCTCATTGCATCAAATATCGGTGAATAATGTCTACTTTTTTAAATGCGACGTTAATATATGTTTTGCTGTGTAAAGAAGCGTGATGAATTTGTAGAATCCAGCTATATAGTTATAAATAGTTAACGATAAAGAAAGGCATAAGTTCAGAAGTGCTAAGAAGTCATAGAATTATAAACCAGGTTATTATTATTTCATAACAATTGACTACCCCCTTGATTCCCTTTCTCATTTTACAGCTGGTATAATCAATTTGACAGATCGACTTTAAATAACTCAAATGGGGTCGATTTTTGATGATCGAGTTCCACATATGTTATGTGACAGAACGCTAATAAGACCGGCGGTCCTCTATGGACACGAGACATGGACTATGCTCGAGGAGGACCTGCAAGCACTCGGAGTTTTCGAGCGACGTGTGCTAAGGACTATCTTCGGCGGCGTGCAGGAGAACGGTGAGTGGCGGCAAAGAATGAACCACGAGCACTCTATGCACTACGCATTCTACGGCGAACCCAGCATCCAGAAGGTGGCCAAAGCCGGAAGGATGCGGTGGGCAGGGCATGTTGCAAGAATGCCGGACAACAACCCTGCAAAGTTGGTGTTCGCTACTGATCCGGTTGGTACAAGAAGGCGTGGAGCGCAGAGAGCACGATGGGCGGACCAGGTAGAGCGTGATCTAGCGAGCATTGGGCATGACCGAGGATAGAGAGCGGCAGCCGCAAACCGAGTATTGTGGCGTACTATTGTTGATTATGTCTTATCTTAAATGTGATGTTGTACAAATAAATGTATGTATGTACCGTTTCAACCAGTCCTTTTACACAAAGATTGACAATTTGCCTAAGGGATTTTTCAGTGGAGTGAAAGAACAAGAGACGATCCGCTATGTTTCACGAAATTTGACATTTGCTTATGGGGTTTTCCTATATGAGTGAACAGTTGCAGAGTCGTCGTCAACGCAAATGGTTTCACAAATTCCAAAACAAAGTTATCAAATAAAATTCGTAGGCTATAATTACGAACACGTCTTAAAGCTACGTCCTTAATGTTTGGCCCATAGTTATTAAGTGCAAAAAGCGATAGATCTTCTAATTTTACAATAAGATTTAAAAGTGTAATATTGATCTATTAGGTTAGCATGTTACAAAAAGGCAAGTCCTTTGAATTCATGAAATTATCAGGCTTTTTGATGACCAGTCATGAATGAAATTTTCGTTAGTGCAAAAATATATGAAAATTTTACGATACTTTTTCTTTGAAAATGAGCAATAAGTGTTCTAAATTCGTCCCAAAAATAGGTAATTCATTTACGAACTACAATTTCACAGCAGATGTGATATTAGTTTTTCATTACTATTGTGTATTATTGCTGAACGAATCAGTTATTTGCTTGATAGGCCGAAGTGAGGAGCTAGGCCTACACTACATCTCGTAACCCTATCAAGCAAAACATAAAGAGATATAAATCTGCCCTGGAAAAACGGTGACTGGAAATAACTTTCATAAAAACCTGACTTTAACATTAACTTTCATAAAAGTGCCAACTGAATATAAAATTGTTGTATAAGACAATTTTTTTTAACTTACACACAGGCTTGCAATTGCTCATTACAGCTAAAATGCTATTTTTCGTAATTATGAAGCAATGAGATACTCGATAACAGTCTCGTGGTTTCACAAAATCGCTATTTCAAATTTTGAAAAGTGACAAGTTTCAATGCAAGTATTTCGGTTAAGGGTCACGTGGGAGCGGTCTGGTTTTTTCACTATTTCATTGCATTTTCTTGTACTTCCAATTGCTCAAACAATGGCCTGCTCGTTTTTACCCGTTTAGAAGTTATTGGTATTGGAAGTTGGGCAATTCTCAACCAAAAAATATAAATAACTTTTCAAATATTAATGATAGCAATTTGCAGTCTTCTGAAAAGATATGTAATTTGATATTTATATAAATCTTTGCAGAACATGCCAAACATGTAGAAATATTGTAGAAAAAGTTACAGATACAAAATTGATTTTAACGCTAACCACTGCGGCACAAGTGTGTTGGGATCAGTGCTGCAAAATCTCGACAGTACACGGTGATATTGACAATTCTGCTTTGGTCACTCATTTGAGCTAACAGTCATAGTCAAGGCAAACCATGTCAATTATCAATGACAATGGTGTCAGTGACGAACATGTGCAGATTTGTTTATTAGCTAAATTTGTAACGAAATTAAATGACTTGAGCAAAACAATTACATGGATCCATTTCAGTGAACAAGTATCTTCGTCCTGAGCTACTTGGATAACAATAATGTGACACAGAATGTACTAAATTACACTTTTTGTTACCAGGTGAATCTTTGTCATTGACGAAAAAATGAATGAGATTTTGACGAAGGTTTTTTTGAGGATCAAGTCTGTCAGTGACTATGTGACGAACAATTTTGTCAATATCGCGCGAAAGTCTGTCAATGACAATGACAAATCTCAGCACTGGTTGGGATAGCATTTTCCCGCACACTTTAACACTTTTTCGAATTTTTACTCAAAATAACTTAAAACATTACCGTGAATATTTGTCTCAGAATTACTTTTCAAAACAACTTTGTCTCAAACGTAATTTCGAACAGAAGTGACATTTTAGCGCTATAGTGTCAGCTGAAATTTTGCAAAATCTTAAATTTTCTGATTCTGGTGGGTTCTTATGAATTTTCTCTGAAAATGTTTTGTCATTTGGTATCGTGGTTTAAAAGTTACAGCTGTTGATGTGTGTGGCATTAATTTTGTGTTCATCTTATGTAGCCATTTTCTGTCGACGACCACTACCACGGTTGGCGTGGAGATAAACATTGGAAAATTATCACTGGTTTGAGTATCATTGTCGACTTCCCATTGAACGTTCCGTTTTTTAGAGTGCTTTTTGGTGCATATGAATGGCCCCCTTCTAGTCATGGCTAAGTGTTTTGGACATCAAGCTTCAGTCAATCGGAATTGAGCCAAACATTGTTTTTTTTTTTAAATCCCGCAGAATCGAGTAAAACGTTCGCTAATCCAATTCAAAAACAATCAACAGCTAGTGCTGGAAGGTCATCCGGTCGCATTGCAACTTGACCCCACAGGTGAACAGTTCACTCACCTCAGGGTATTCGGGTGCTACCGTCGTGGTAGTCGTCTTGGTGAGCGGGTTCTGTCGTCCAATGTTGCCTCGCCGCAGCAGCAGGTTGTTTCGGCTGTTGGCCTTTGGCTGATCGTCCTGTGACAGAACGGAGGTGACTACCGCCGCCAGGCATACGAGCACTGTTAGACACGTACTGGAATGGTATGGAAATAGGAAATACGTTAGTAAGATCCAACCCACTAGCTATTTACTGTTGTTGAAAGCACGAATGTTTTTGCTCTGGTTTGGATAATAGATCCACATTGGAACCACATTTGAAAGTAGCATTATTGTTGAAACGTGTTTTCCTCGTTATTGGGGAGTTAATGGCAAAGTGAGCAACAGCAGCAGCAGCAGCAGCAGCTCCTTCATTGACCTTCACATTTTTTCGTCTTCTCTGCACGAGTCAAGATCGAGAGTTCCGTGTTCTCGTTCGAAATTTATATGCAATTAAGAGTGCTCCAGAATGGGGCCGGTTTCGAATGACTTTTCAACAAGCTGCTGCTGTCGTGGCCCATCAGCATTGAGGAGCGCGCGGAGAATTTGAAAGTTGGCGTCCGTCGTCGTGTGACGGACGAGCATGTGGAGCATTGCGAGCCGGTTCGGATGGTGCTCTTGAGGGGACTTCGAACTTGTGAGGGGTGGTTATGTTTCTGCAGCACCAGTAACCCCGCATCAATGCCACTCAAGTGAACAAGGCTACACCCGCACACTGGGGCAGAATGGTGCTTGGATTGGACAAAAATCGTAGCTCTCCACCCATGCACCCTAGAGGTTTGGTGTCTTGGGCAAAGTTGTTCAGGTGGATAAGGACTATCTATTTCAGCGTTGCCGATATCTAGTGGTAAGCGTGATTGCCACTCACCTCAAAAAGCCTGGGTTCAATCCCAGTCAGCGCTGCCGGGATTTTGTGAGGCATAAGTCTTCCGAAGACGTCATCATTCTTTAAGATCATGTTTTTGCATTTGATCTTACATTTAAATTTTCAATCGATTTAGCCTGAAGGTTGCTTCATCTTTGATTGAATGGTTAATTTATTATTTATTTTAGTTTACTTTTCTACTAGTTTACATTATTCCCCTTTTGGAGCATAATAAGATTGAATTAAAACATTTGAAAACCTACTTAACAAAGTAAACTGGATTGGACTTGTCAAGCATTCATCCAAGACGACATACACGAAAGGAAGAGGTTCAAGAGAGGAGAATGTTAGCCTCCCACCACGATTTCTGATTAACGGTGAATTGAAGCGATCGATGAGTTCGTGTATTTGGGCTCACTGGTGACTGCCGTTAATATCACTAGCAGATATATTCAAAGACGCATTGTGGCAGGAAATCGTGCTTATACCCTGAATCAAGTTCACCATCTAACGAAATTGACTATCAACAAAACACTCATTAGATCGGAAGTCCTGACTACTATCTATGATGCAGTGCAGGTGGATGATGGAACGTGGAGATGGCGAATGGACCGTTGGTTGAACTAGCTGTTGAGATTAACACCCAACGTCCATATTGCAAAAATCGGTTCCATACGGTGGCTGCACACCTGTGCTGTGGTTGTGCTTGTCACGGGTAACCGACGACTACTAAGCACCAAACAAAAAACATTTTTTTTTATATTTTCACCAGGAAAAGCGCAATCGATTTTGGATTACAAGAAGCGATGTCAAATTTACTTGGAAAAACCCAATCAAATTTGGATTACGAGAAGCGAAGTCAAGTTTTGCTTGGAAGAGCGCAATCGAATTTGGATTACAAGAAGCGAAGTCAAATTCTACTTGGAAAAGAGCAATCGAATTTGGATTACGAGAAAATATGTCAAATTTCACTTGGATAAACACAACCGAATTCGGATTACGACCTTCGAAGTTTAATTTTACTTGAATAAGCGCAATTAGATTTGGGTTACGAGAAGCAAAGTATAATTTCACTTGGAAATGCGCAATCGAATTTGGATTATAGCAGCGAAGTCAAATCCTACTTGGAGGAGTGCAATTGAATTCGGTTTACAAGAAGCGATGTCAAATTTACTTGGAAAAACCCAATCGAATTTGGATTACGATAATTGAAGTCAAGTTTTGCTTGGAAGAGCGCAATCGAATTTGGATTACAAGAAGCGAAGTCAAATTCTACCCGAAAAAAGTGCAATCGAATTTGGATTACGAGAAATGATGTCAAATTTTACTTGGATAAACACAACCAAATTCGTACTACGACCTTCGAAGTCAAATTTTACTTGGATAAGCGCAATTGAATTTGGGTTACGAGAAGCGAAGTAAATTTTTTCTTGCAAATGCGCAATCGAATTTGGATGATGCGAAGCGAAGTTAAATCCTTCTTGGAGGAGTGCAATTGAATTCAGTTTACGAGAAGCGAAGTTAAATTTTACTTGGAAAAGCGTAATCGAATTTTTATTTTGGGGGCGACCCCGGTGTATTGGTAAGAATCCATACCTTTCACGCCAAAGTCACGAGTTCAAATCTAACCTCCGAACAAGTCACGAATAACCCAAGAGCGTTAAAGTGACTATAATAATTAAAAAAAAAATGGATTTCGAGAAAAGAAGTTAAATTTTATTTGGATAAGCGCAATCTAATTAGGATTATGAAAAGAGAAGTCAAATTCTACTTGGAAAAGCGGAATCGAATTTAGATTACCAGAAGCGAAGTCAAATTCTACTTGTTGGAGTGCTATTAAATTCGGTTCATGAGAAGCGAAGTCAAATTCTTCTTGGAAAAGCACAATCGAATTTGGATTAAGAGAAGCAAAATCAAATTTTATTTGCAAAAGCGCAACCGAACTTGGATTACTAGAAGCGACTACTTTGAAAAGCGGAATCGAATTTGGATCACGAATAATTAAACAAAATCCTATATAATTAATCCATCCATCCACCAACTTGGATTGCGTAAAAACACAAATGAACCCGTTGTATAAATGTCATACGACAATCTGGTGACAACAGTTCTCGAAACCATCCGACTAGAACTAGACAAAAAAGGCGCTCGAAGGGAAAGTTGGATCAGTGATGTGGAGGCTCCGCATATAGTGGGGTTGGTGACAAACAGCCAGGTGACATACAGTTGGTGACAAGTGGAATGAAGATGACAACAAAGCACAACCAGGCCTTAGCATGAATGGTAAATTATAATCTGTAACGAAGAAATTTGCATGAACAAGCACGAAGATACGAAATCAAAATTCCAATCAGAACGGTTGTATAGGGCTGTTCATAAACTACGTAGACAGTTTAGGGGGGTTGACAATTACCCACGGCCCATAAAAATTAAAAAAAATTGTATGGACAATTGTCTACGCAGGGGGAGGGGGGGTCAAGAATCCCAAAAAAACTGTCAACGTAGTCTATGAACAGGCCCTATGCTGATTCAAACTAAGCTTGTACGGGCTACATGAAACGGCATGAGTATAGAATAAAACGATTGACGACATTTTCAAGCAAACTGGATTCCATCAGTCGGTGGCAGATGGTTAAGGGAACATAACTTGATTTCAGGAAAGGTTGTAGTTGTACGGGAAACATCGTAAAAGTTCAGGGAACGTTGTATTACTTCAAGGAACTTCGTAGATCGAAGATCAGAACACAGCGTTCAGGAATCTTGCAGTATGTGGGATAAATAGTCGAAATACAAAACGTATATTGACAAAAGGTGGAAATGACAAAAGGTCGAAAATACAGAAGGTCAAAAGGGCAAAAGGTCGAAGGATAAGAAGGAGGTCAAAAGGTCGAATGGAAAAATGGTCAAATGATGCAAAGGAAGACAAAAGGTCGAATGGCTCAAAGAGGAACAAAAAGTCGAATAGACTAGATGTAGAATGGTGACAAAAGGTCGAATGATCAAAAGAGGTACAAAATGTCGAATGGACAAAAGGTCGAATGAACAAAGGGTCGAATAACTAGAAAAGATATAAAAGGTCGATTGGCCGAAAGGTCCAAACATGGCATAAACAGAGAAAACAATATAATAATACACACAGATATCAATGATGGTGACGACCGGGAATTGCTTGGTTTAACGGCTTTCTCAGTGGAGTGACGGTCTGTTAAGTGTTACTCCACGTCACTCCACGCGGCAATCTGTTGTGCTCGCTGCAAACAGACGTGTTTTATGCAACCATTAACTATCGACCCAACAAGAAGTGCTTAGCACAAAATTACGACAGAACTAAACGAGGTAGAAAGTTGGAGTCCAAGAAATAGTTGTAGAGCGCTTTGAGATGCATCTTTTGGTTAGACAAAAATGCCCTTTATCATAAATTTTAGACATGTTTATCTCTTGACTGCAAGTAAATGCAGTTTACTTGAAGTAGAAATTACACCATTAAGTAGGATTTTTTTAAGCTGTCCAATGGATGTAATAATTATGTGTTAAGTTAATTTTTCGAGTTAGAGTCAATTTGTGGCAAGCATAGACCAACACAGAAAAAGTTCAATAACTCAGTAATCTTTGCGATTTGATCATATGCGTAGAACTTTTTTTTCACCAAATATGAACTTCTATCACCACTTAAAATATTTGCTCTAAGGAATCGAACAACCTGTATGAGTGTCTCTTGGAATTAAGGCACTGAGTCGATTGTCTTTTGCTAAAAAGTTCAATCGATCTGATTTGCCCTTTCTGAATTCAATTAATCTAAAAATCTATTCTGTAGTCTGTGAGAGGGAAATCACAAATCCGGTGTCATCAAAATACATGGCATGTTGAGAGGTTGAGCTCGTAAGAGATAGAATTTATTTATTTAATACATACATCTGACAATAAATCTTAATGAACTAGGAGCCATTACAAATACTAAATGTATCAGGAATTGATAATACGTCTCCGGAAACGATCCGAAGATGCCCCAAACTCGAACAACTCTTCAACTGTAGAGAACGCGCGAATCGTACTCGTAATAGGATCATGTTGTCCAAAAGAAGAGCGGTGAGAGTTCCGACACAATAGGAACGATGAACGTAGAAATCTGCTTGGCGCACGAAAGTTCAGGCAAGAGAGTAAGTGGGTGGAATAAATTTCACCCCTTAATGGATTAGTGACGAATGTTGCCTGTTGAATTTTTCGCCGTCGTTCTAAAGTATCCATCTCTCAGCATGCGGAGGTAAGTTTAGTGGATCTCTCCAAGAAAGTTG